ATGATAAAATTGCAGGGACCGCTCAAGGCTCATTAATTTTAAGTTCTGAAGAATCGCTATCACATGCCAACCCCCCTCCCCTTTATTTAAGTTTGAAAATGTTGTAATGATTAGATATAAGGTAGATTTAGGGCACCACGGGATGCCCCAAAACAGGCCACAGGTACGCTTCTCTATGCACTGATTGAACTGATGTTTCGTTCTACAGCTTTACCCGAAATTAACTTGGAACTATGTATGGACTATAGATTATTTTCTAAACAAATGCATGGCTCCATTGAACTTTTATTTGGAACATCACAAAACCTGAATGTTTAGGAGTATATTAATCCAATATACATTTTGTGAACGAAAGAAAACCATAAAAATCACGTTTTCAATCATGTTTTGGATTATATCTGTTTTGAAGAATTAAAAAAACTAAAACATTAGATAATACCACCTTAGTTATTTTAATGCAATCTATGGTCCTGCTGTTATTGTATGTGTTGCACAGAAGCAATACTGCCTTTAGTCCTTTGGACCCATTAAGTTTGTGAGACATCAGCTATACTAAACAAAATATTATATACTTGTATTGAAATGCATCCCAGGTACACATAGGCACTCTATGAGTTTATGCGCACCATGCCTATTAATTTTTCTGTTCAGGGAAAACTATTCAAGGAAAATAACGTCAACTGAGCGGTAAATGCTAATGAATTCTAGATTATAAAATAATATAAAGTATATGTTTATTTTGAGAACTGAAAAGGTTAATCATGTCATGAAATAAACATTTTTGTGCGCCATATCTCTGGTTGATGTTGTTCAGGGCATCCAGATCCAGATTGTGTGTTTCTCACTAATAAACACGTTGATAAACGTTTCTGAAATGTGTGCATGCATCTTGGACCCCTGAAATACGAAACGGTGTTGGAATAAATTGATTTTTAGAAAAGTAGATGAAACATTTTACAAATGTAAACCATAAAACGCTCCAACCTTCTCGTCATGAAAGATGACCTCTTATGGACTATGACTCAGGAAAACAGTCATGAATTGGCTCCTTAAACCCAGTATCAACCTCGGCTTGGTGGTCCATCTCACGGAATTGGTACACATGCCCACCATTTTCAGAAAACCTTGTGTTTTTTGTTTTCTTTGCTGCCCATGACTGACCATGAGTTGGATGCTGTAACATGGCTATCCCTGCTTTTATAACCGTGAATTTCAAGCCTCAGTGAACCAATTGGAACACTATATGAATTGGGGGGAAAACTTTATTTCAAATTTTGAATTCTAAAAAATGACAACAAATCAGAACAATTATTCACCTCTGTATCATCCGCACTAATTTTACTGTTCATCGAAAAAGCAACCAATGAGAATCAGCCACAGTGGGTTGGAAATCCTAAAGAAATCTATACAGTGTCTCAACTTTCTGCATCCATTCGTTTCTTTCAAAACGTCACATGCAGGGGCCCAACTTTACTATTTTTTACACGATAAACCCTCAGCAAACCTTTGATCAATGAACAATGCACAACAAAGAATTGACAGTGACATTTCCGAGCGGGAAAAGCAGGCCCCCATTCATTTTGCTATTAGATTATAATGGATAGTATACTCCCTCCGTCCCATTTATTTTGTCCCGTTTTATCTTTTCGGGAAGTCCCACTTATATTGTCTCATACCATAATTGACAATGTTTGTGTGGCTCTAAATCATTCTTACTTTATTCTTACTTTATCAATTAATATCAACCACACAAACCCACTTTTCTTAATAACCGTGTCACCATCTTCCGGGACAATATAAATGGGACGGAGGGAGTAATACGTAGCAGCAGTTAATGCTAGATATTCATACACTATAATTAGGAGCCCGTTTGGTGACCCATTCTTTCGGCTTATCAGCCAGCTTTTTCATTAAACATGTAACTTTTAATTTCGCGCACTTAATTTTGTAATAAACAGAAAAAGTAAGGTTGAAGTTACTTTTATGGCTGTATTAACTAAAGTTACTGTAGAGGATCATTTTAGCTATTTTTTCAAATTATTTTTTATTTAATTTATTAATAAAAATTACTTTAAATATAATTTTTTCATGAATCAGTAGAATCAGGTAATACAATCACTTCAGCCAAAATTTCATAAATTTCAGCAGAATCAGCCAATTCAGAGAATTTTAGTGTTACCAAACGGGCTCTAAGTTGTTAGTTACCTACTTAATTAGTTTATTTATTAATACATATATACCGGAGTACATTAATATTTTAGTATATGTTGTACTAATAGTACAATATAATATATGAATCCTTCCAAAAAATTAACCCCGCAATAATGTAATATAGTCTAATAATGTTGTTGTTTTTGCTACTTCAGAGAGAAAGTCAATATGTTGAGTTTATTAAAATTTATTTTAACATCAAACTATATTCTTCAAAAAATAAAATCATCAAACTATAAAAACAAAAAATGCTAAATACTCGGTATTACTATTACCCAAAGGCTAAATGTATACGTGGCTTTCAAAATGTCTAAAGAGCATTGACCATGACTAGATAACTAAGACCAACCCGGAATTAATATACATTTTGGATTTGACAGCCCAAATCCCGCTATTTGAGAAATCTCCAAAAATATCCCGTATTTTTGCCATGTCTGCACCGAATCCCCGTAGTTTTAGAAATGACCCTGCTGCCTGCAACCAAGAACATTAGGGCAATATTAAAGACATTCTGGCCGAAGCGGTTGAATGATATTAAACTTTGACCGATTATATTGTTGTACACAATAATATTGACAATATGAACTCATTAAGTTTCACATAGATATATTAGTTTAAATCATTACTCAAGTTTATTAGAAAAGTAAAAAATGACTAAATTAAAAGAGATTTGAAGGTAGTACTTAAAATATATTTTTGTAGGGTGGGGGTAAGAGTAAGGATAGGGGTGGGGTAGGGGTGACAGGGCTGAGTATGGTGGGGCTAGGAATAGGGGGTAGGGGTAACTAGGTTGTAGGGGGAGGGGCGGAGTGTAGGGGTAAGGGAGTAGGGGTAAGGGGAAAGAATAGGGGCAAGGGTAAATGCGGAAAATAAAAAAGCTTAAACTCTCTCTTAATTAATACATGGTGGTGGTATGCTTAGAAAGCGATACTTTAAGCACGGTCGAAATCTGTGACTAACGTCCGTGACTACAAGCGTGTTTTTTTGTAGTGTTATACGAAAATCTAGCTGATACAGGTTTTGTTTGCTTCAATGTAGAAAAAGAATACTCCCTATGAAAGTGTTTAATTTGTTGACTGCCAATCTTTATTGATTTTCCATCTTGGCTTTCTCGTTATTTTTTTTTTACGTGTGAATGACATTATTGTTACTGGTAATTCCTCCACTTTCGTTCTTTATATTTATATATGAACTTGCTTAGTTTTTGCAATGTAGTTGCAAATAAAAAAAACGTTTTGCAATGAAATATTTGGGGGAGCTTCATTTTTTCCCTTGGGGTACACAAATAGTTATTTCGTATATATGATACGACTAGTATTATTTAAGGGCCGTAAACATTTGGACGTATACCTACAAATTTTGGGTTCTAAATTTTTGAACTTTGTGGCTCCTCGAGCAATAGTACTCTCATTGCCCTTGAGATAATCACAATCATGTCCTTCAAAAACTAGTTACCATTTGAAGATGTTGAAGTAGTAATTTAAATACTACGGGTACAAATTTTTAACTTGGAAGCATAATTATAAAAATGCACATGACGTTTTTTTTTGGACAAAGCTTTCCAATCTAATATACGATAGTAGTATTTTTCAAAGGTACTTGGCCATAAATATGACTAATAGCTACTACAATATAAAAAGAATATGTACTTGGAGCATCTTCAATGGTAGGCTTTTGACATTAAAAAATTTGTGACAAATGTCAAGAAATGTATGGAACGTTTAACCACATAGGATTAATGTCAAAACTCAAATGACGAAATCCTCGAAGGCTTCCGCAGTGCACCATGTTGAGCTCCTAATGTTTTGTCCAAGTGGAATTTAATTAATTTAAATTGAAAATAAATAATCTAAATATTTGAGATTTTTGTAACTATCCGGCCGTAACTAATTCCAAAGAAAACTCCCAGTTTGTGCCAACAATACCTTCTTGTACGATGAGTCAACTGTTTAACTGGCTTTGGAGGATGTGAAAGTGGGATCAACATTGTCTACATTTATTTGAGACACCTCACCTCCACATAACCGTAGAAGGAAAGCATTGAAGCAGAAAATAAAGAGACACTTTGTTATTCAATGACGTGGCCAACTTTTTAAATGTTAAAAGCCTACACATTGGAGATGCTCTATTGTGGGATGGAATTATGAGTCCACTTGACCGGATCTTCAGAAATTGGTTAAATTGTGGCTATAAAGGGCTGAAGGCCGTATTATATTGGCCAATATTTTTGATCAAAAAATCTATTATAAACTTGATTTTATTAATAATAAAGAAAATTGATACGAAAATAGCTAAAATAAGCCTTTTCGAAAAATACATTCAAATTTATTTCAAAAGTAATTTAATGTGTAACTATTTCAATACCATTAAAATAAATCAACAAAATGTGAAGTGTTAAAACCTTGTAACAATTACTACTTCCGTTCTCTTTTAATTGCAATCTATATAAAGAGATCTGCAATGTTAAGATTTGAGGAGTACATTTATAGAACCTCATATGACTCTTATGGAGACATTTGGGATATGTTGAATAGAAAAATGCATTGTGATACGTTTTTTGTGTACACATTTGACACACTTGACTCTTTAAACAGACAAAGTTGTTTGTATATAGAGAACTCTGTAGGACTCGATCCACATAGTTGTCTATATATCAACAGCTCTGTCAGCTGACATAAACAAATATTTGAATGGTGTACACAAAAAACGTGTACACCAAACACGACTCGTGTTGGAAATGTGAAAATAAACTATTGAAACTATGTTAGAACGTATCCATTGACAATTTATTTCATTCATACAATAAAAGATTTATAATGAATTGAAAAGGGAAGATAATCCAATCCAACAAAATCGATTACTTGGACAAGTAGCTCAATTTTTGTTTAATAATTTTTACTTCTAGTTAAACTATCAATAACCTAGTGCTCAATAAAATGCAGGAAAAATATCCAAAATGAACAAAATCTTTAATTTAGTTGTTACACCGTACGTGCTCTAGCTAGGGCAGCGCTCATCCACTGCAACTCCCATGATTATTAAGAGATTAACGATGATGATTACCACAGAGCTTACGGTAAGGAAAGAGCCGATCTCCCGCCATTTCCCCTTGAGGCTCTTCTCGTACCCTTGTTTACACGTGTCGCAATTGAAGCACAAAATGCTTTCTTTGTTATCCCACAAGTTGCAGTCCCCGCCTGTATTATCATCGGTCTCTTTCAAGGGCCGCCTCCAATATGTGGTGTTCACGAATTCCATTTCGCATGGCGGCGGCGGTCTGCAACATGCTGCCTGCAACCAAGAACATTAGGGCAATATTAAAGACATTCTGGCCGAAGCGGTTGAATGATATTAAACTTTGACCGATTATATTGTTGTACATGACAATATTGACAATATGAACTCATTAAGTTTCACATAGATATATTTGTTTAAATCATGACTCAAGTTTATTAGAAAAGTAAAAAATGACTAAATTAAAAGAGATTTGAAGGTAGTACTTAAAATATATTTTTGTAGGGTGGGGGTAAGAGTAGGGATAGGGGTGGGGTAGGGGTGACAGGGCTGAGTATGGTGGGGCTAAGAGTAGGGGGTAGGGATAACTAGGTACTAGGGGAGGGGCGGAGTGTAGGGGTAAGGGAGTAGGGGTAAGGGGAAAGGATAGGGGCAAGGGTAAATGCGGAAAATAAAAAAGCTTAAACTTTCTCTTAATTAATACATGGTGGTGGTATCAGGTATGCTTAGAAAGCGATACTTTAAGCATCTATTTCCGCGCTTAAACTGTCGTTTAATTAATTTATATGGTGGTGGTATGCTTAGTAAGCGGTATTTTAAGCATATGTTTGAGTTAGTAAGTATTGTGTATTTGTTTGGTGTTTACTTCACATATCTTAATAACATAATTTTTTTTTTGCGAGGAACATAATTATATTTTTTAGCAGTGAAGTAAATTCGTCCTCAGTCTTAATAAATACTATCCTCCGTCTCTTTTTAATCGCAACATGTTAAATTTTACACTATTCACATGTTCTACTTTGACTACATTTTATATTATTATTTTATGAAAATTATTTTTTTAAAAAAAAGTATTGTTCAATTCATCTCATTACAAATTTTCAAAATCTAATTTTTAAATATTTTTTGCTAACAGAGATTAAGATATAATTACGGTCAAAGACGTGCATTGGTAAGTGTGAAATGTTGACCATTGCAACTAAAAAAGAACGGAGGAAGTACTCGGTAGTTAAGATTTATTTTATCACTTTACTCGGTGTCGAATGTCGATAACTACTTAGCCGAAAAATAAGCACATCCATGAGAATCCCAATAAATCAGCCTACACATATAACTTGTTAGATTATGATTCAAGACTTAAAGTTGAACTTATCTAAATCGATCGTATTGTGCCGTTTGTGCGTCATTTCTTTACGAATTAAACGGATGTTTTTTTGTTGATATGAATACAGAATACACGGATCAAATAAAAGGGTTCTAACGTGTAAAATGCCAAACTTACATTTTGACAATACGTTGGTGCACTTTTATTTACTAAATTGTCACCTCCATTTTTCTAAAAATGCATTTTCTGCAAATGTGAAAAAGTGTAATACCTAAATAAAAAGTGCACCAAAGCATGGTAAAAGTGAAAATTTTACAATTTACATGATCTTTTTTATTCAATGTGCACCCTACCCTTTAATGACATGTAAATAGACTTAATTTAATAAAAAATGTGATACTGCGTACGTAGCATTTCCTCCGTTCTTAAATAAGTGCAACAATCAACATTTGACATTTGTTGAGACACAACTTTGACCATTAATATATATAATTCTGTATTTGTAAAAAAATTAAAAAATCAGTTTTTGAAAATTTACAATGAAACAAGTTTAATAATATATTTTTCAAAAATATATATTAATACATTAATAAATAAAATATAGTCAAAGTAGAACATGTGAATAGTGTAAAATTTCACATGTATATTGCACTTATTTAAGAACGGAGATAATATTTAAGAACTTAATTGAACCTATGTACATACATACGCACCTCAGTTGACGATAGCTCCTCGCCATGAATTCCACCATCGGATTTAAGATTGAGTGTTCGGGCCATTAAATCCTCGCAAGTTCGGGCCTCATAAAGGCAAGTCCTGATGGCGGGCCAGGCACCGCCGTCACCCATCTTGGATCTGAGCCATGCCGGCGACCCCGGAATCTTGGCGGCCTCCTGCTGGTGAGCTCCGAGAAGGCCCAGCCCAAGAACGAGCACGACGATCGCAGGCACGGTGGCGACGAGGACCCGCGGGATGGCGTAGCGGGTGGTGCCGGCGAAAGATACTACGTTTAGGGAGAAGACGGTGACGGCGAGGCCGAGGAGAATGACATATTTGGCCTTGGGAAGGTGGAGAAGATCCTCGCAGTCGCACTGTTTGGCGTATACGGCGTCGCTGAAGATGTAGATGACGGGAAAGGAGGTAATCAAGGCTAGAAGGGTCAGTAACAGCGCGATACCAGCGACCAGAATTTTGTACTCTTTTTCATTTGACGACAGTCGTAGTGTTGTTGGGGCGGCGGCGCGTCGCATGATGTTTGTTTGTTTGTTGATGCTGCGGCGGCCGCGGCAAACTTAGATTTCCGTATAAGACTGAAGTACTCCGTATTTATATAATCCAAGCCGCCGTATCCAGCCACACAACCCAGCCTTTCAAGATATATACGATAGTAATTCGTACGTAGTACGAAGTGTGTATCATCAATAATGTAGGTCAAATCTCGGGCCAAATAAATCAATAGTCAACACCATACATTATTATATTTATATTCCCTCCGTTTCTAAAAGAACCTCACACTTTCCTTTTTGGATGTGCCAAAATAAAAGTCACACTTCCCTTATTTCCTTATTTGGCAAAGAAATCTACATCCAAATAGTGTCAAACAGTGCCAAACAGTACCAAACAGTGTCCAAACAGTGCCAAACAGTGTCTAAACAGTGTTTTCTACAGTAAAGTCAATTTATTTCCTTAATAATCGTGAAGTCAAACCGTGACTTTCTTTTAGAAACGGAGGGAGTATTTAAGTAGTTCAACACACCACATATCAAAAACGCGTTCTCCTAAAAATAATCTAAATAACATCGATGTAAAATACCTCAATAATGATCTCTAACAAAAAAGTATAACCATTCAAACAATACAGTTATAACATCATTTATCCCTAAGGTGATGTTGTATTTGTAGTCATTTAATAATTTTACAAATACTGTACCGAAATTGTTGATATACCTAGCTATTCTTACATTAACTTCATTACAAATACAAACGGTCACTTATCTCTCTACAATTTCGCTCTCTCCAATCTCTAGCATCTTTCTGGTCCTCCGTCTCTTCTTCTCCCCCTCCATGGGGGAGCCACCGCCACAACAAAAAACCTGGGCTTCCGTGGTTTCCGATTCCAGGAAACAGCCTAGCCCCAAGGATGACCCATCGCTGAAGCTGGTGGTCGGAAAACATAATGGCTGCTTCTCGGTCAAGATACCAAAAGCTCGGTCGGACCTACTAGCGGCGGACCTTCAGTACTCTCTGGTGGGATCCTTCATAAACGGCCGACCACCATTATCTTCTATCCGTAAGGTCTTTGAGGCTCTTAATTTCAAATCCGTTACTATTGGTCTGTTGTATAAAAGTGAGATTCTTATCTCCTTTTCGGACAAAAACGAGTATATTCGTTGCCGCTCCAGGCATCCATGGATTATACATGGGTTTACGATGCGGATCTCTAGGTGGTATCCTGGATACCACCCCGATAGAGAATCCTCATTCGTCCCTGTTTGGATTCATTTCCCCCATCTCCCTTTTCACTTATTTGATGAGGATTTCCTTTTTGAACTTTGTTCTAATTTCTGTCAACCCCTCCGATGCGATAAGCCTACGCTGAACAAAAATCGGCCGTCGTTAGCCAGAATACAGGTGGAAATTGACCTGCTCAAACCAATACCTGAGAAATTCTGGCTCGTTGACGACGGCTACGAGGGATTTTGGCAGTACATCACTATAGAAGAGCAGCTTCCTGATTACTGTAGATGTTGCTTTCATATCGGCCACAATGAAGGAAGCTGCCCAAAAAAGTCCCAATCCCTTAAAGAGGGTGTAAAGGATAACCCTAAAGACCCTAACCTGTCTAGAGACAAAGGTAAAATGGTGATTCATAGCTCTGTCAGTACCATTACTAACCCGGTGACTAAATGGAAAAGAAAAGAGCCTTTCTTTTTTGAAGCAGGTCAACCCTCAGGTGTGGATAAAGGAAAAAATGATGACATTCCAACAGAGCTCTTTGAAGATGCTTTACAACATTTAGATGGATCCACAACAAAGGAGTTTGTCACTGAGATATGTGAAGAAGAAATCAATATAAATGTAGAGGGAAGTCTTATCTCTGAACCCTTAAATATTGATAATCAGCCTGATTTGAACTCCCCGGTCCCTACTGAAATGCAAACCCATCCCATGCTCCCCCCTGATATAATCCCTCAAACTGAACCCCCTGATACTATTCCTCATCTGATGGATACTACAATTGAGATTAATGACCTTACTTTGTATCAGGACTTAGAAGAGGGAGAAATAGAAGAATTGGAATTGGATAAGGTTAACAGAACATACCATTCGGATGTTGACCTTCCCAAAAAAACCAAACATCAAAAAGCTACCTTTGCCTCTGCCCCTAATAAAAGTAATGGTTCTCTTCATAGAGAACCCTATCAATTGAGGCCCAAGAAATCTGCCCAAACTACCATTTTTTATGATTAATGCACTCTTTTGGAATATTTTTGGGATTGGTAATCGACAATCTCAGGACAGACTGAAAACTCTTTGTAAACTGCATTCCATAAACTTTGTGGCCATTATTGAGCCTAAAATCAGGCCTAATAAGATCCACTCTATCAAGTATGCTCTTCATTTTCAGAATTCCTATGCTCATAATTATAATAAGATTTGGTTATTCTGGAACAACACTTCTGACATCCAAATTATTTCTGATTTACAACAATCTGTTAATATCTCCTTTAAGGATAAAAATAACAATACTACCTTTTTTCTTTCCATTATCTATGCTAGCAATGACAGGATGAAAAGGCAAGACCTCTGGACCAACTTGTCTGACTTTAAGGCTTCTATTGGCAATCAACCTTGGCTCTTAGCTGGAGATTTCAATGTGATCAGTAATCTGCATGAGTATAAGGGTAATTGTATCCCTTGCAAGTATGACATTCTGGATTTCAATGAGTTCATTAACAATAATTATCTCAGAGATCTTGACTTCCAGGGCAGCCCCTATACCTGGATTGGTAAAAGAAAAAAAGGCCTTGTTCTTAAAAAATTAGATAGAGTTATGGCCTCTCCTGAATTTGATAATCTAAATCTCAATTTGTCTATTCAAAAACTTAATAGGTGTGTGTCAGATCACAATCCTATTTTAGTGAAGGAGAATATTTTATCTAAAGATGGCCCCAGGTCTTTCAGATTTCAGCATATGTGGACCAAACACACTGATTTTCTAAATAAAGTTCAGACATCCAGGAATCTTCCTTGTGAGGGTTTTGGGATGAGAAAATTCTCTCTTAAGCTCAAAAGACTGAAAAATGATCTTAAAATTTGGAATACATCTACTTTTGGAAACATTTTCAACAAACTTTCTGAAGCCGAATCTGATCTGTCCTTTTGGGAGGATAAGGTGGCCTCCACTATGTCCGAAAATGACAAACTTATGCTAAATCAATCTCAGGCTAACTACATCCACTATAACTCTTACCTTGAAATTTTTTACAAACAAAAGGCTAAAGTAAAATGGCTCAAAGATGGGGATGGAAACTCAAAATTTTTCCATACCTCTATGAAAGCCAAACACAACAGGTTACATATTGATAGTATTCAAAGGGATGATGGCACTTGCATTGAGGATAATGCATCTATTTGTGTTGAAGCAGTCAATTACTTTTCTAATCTCCTTACTGCTGAACCCAATCTCCCTAACCTCTACCCTGATCCTTTTCTTAATATTATACAACCTGTGATTAATAACACTGATAATCAGGCTCTGCTTCAACCTGTTAGTAGGGCTGAAGTTAGGAATGCTGTTTTCAGCCTTAATAAAGAGAGCTCTGCAGGTATTGATGGTTTTGATGGTACCTTTTATCACCACTGCTATGATACTATCAAAGATGACTTATTCAATGCTGTCTGTGAATTTATGTGTGGTGTTCCTATACCTCGTGCTGTGGGTCATACTCTGATCTGCCTCATTCCTAAAGAAAACAATGCAAAACATTTTTCTAATTTTAGACCTATAAGCCTTAGTAACTTTTTAAACAAAATCTTCACTAAAATCTTGACTCTTAGGCTTAATCCTCTTCTTCCTAAAATCATCTCCAATGAACAATCTGCTTTTCAAAAGGGTAAAGACATCTCTGATAATATTCTTATGCTTAAAGAGCTCGTTCATCATATTGATCATAAAATCAGAGGTCATAATATTCTTTTTAAATTTGATATGCAAAAAGCTTTTGATAGGATGTCTTGGCACTTCATCAAAAGCACCCTCAAACAATTTGGCTTTCATGACCTCTTTATATCTCTCATTATGAACAACCTTAGCGGAGCCTATTTCTCTATCCTTAATGGCATCCCCCAAGGTTTTTTTAAACCTTCTAGAGGTGTGAAACAGGGAGATCCCCTCTCCCCGATTCTGTTTATTATGGTTACTGAGGCTCTTACTAGGCATCTTAACAGTGCTTTCGGCACTAAAGAAGATCATATTTTCCATACTAAACCTGGTTTACCTATTATCACTCACCTCTCTTATGCTGACGATCTGATTGTTTTTACCAAAGCTAGCAAAAGACCTTTAAATACTCTCAAAAAGGTTATTCATGATTATGAAACCTCCTCTGGGCAGCTTATCAATTCTAAGAAAAGTTTTTTCATCATTTCTAACAAGGCCCCTAGATCTGCTTGTAATATGGTGAAAAGTGTTTTAAAAATAAATCAAGGCTCCTACCCCTTTACGTATCTTGGTTCTTCCATTCATAAAGGTAGAGTGAAGGCTTGCTATTTTGATCATATTGTTTACAACATTGATAATAAACTGGCTGGTTGGAAGCATAATCTGCTTTCTGTCGGGGGTCGTATGATCCTCATTAAACACGTTCTTACTACTGTCCCTCTTTATCATATGGTCGTGGCCAAAATTCCTAGATCCATCATTTCCCTTATTGAAAAAAGGTGTGCTCATTTCCTTTGGGACAGGAATCCGGATAATAAAAAACACATTTGGCGTGCCTGGAAAAAGATTTGTTACCCCACCAGTGAGAATGGTCTGGGATTTAGGGATCTTAAAACCATCCAAAATGCTTTTTTCCTTAAACTTTGGTGGAAAATCAAAACGGGAAACACACTCTGGGCTAACTGGATGAATGCCTTGAAAAATATTACTCAGTCGGTCCAGTGGAATTCCCTACATTCTGTCCAGGAAGAATTCAATAATAATAGTTCTCTTCATATTAACAATGGCACTTCTTCCTTCTGGTACTCCAACTGGTGTGACTGTGGGCCCCTTGTGAATACCATTGAGGACATTCCCGTTAGTCTTAATAATA